CGAGCCTCTATTTCGACGAGATAATGGTAAACAGGGTGTTAAATGTTTCTGCTAAATCACACTGTCGCTATACTCCATATAGTAGGTACCCTTGGATGGTCGTGGTACAGGCTACTTTGGCGGATCGGTGATTCACTGAGCCGAGGATCTCTTAGAAGGGATCGGTGTATTGCTACGATCCTTTGATTTTCTAACTTGCAACACGCCCTAAGGCCCGGCCCGACCGAACCGACCCGGCCCGACCCGAAGTTCAACATTGGGACGGGTTTATGCCCGGGCCGGACGGACTCGACCCGGCTGGGCCAGGACATTGGAAGTTCTGAGCTCACCCACCAAAAACTGGGGTTGATTCGGGGCCTTTCGCTCGTGCCTAGCCAAAAACGGGCTGCCGATGGCCCGGCGGACCAGGACTGCCCGGCCCGCTTCGGGCCAACAGCCCAACTTAGAGGTTTGACCCGGGGCAGTTTCGGGGCAGGGCCGACCAGGCAGGGCCCAGCCCGCCCCCGTGCTCAACCCTACTGTACAGCACCACACTTATTCACCATACAATACAGGGGTGTGAAATTAGGCATGGGCATTTGACCCGGACGGGTCGGGTTGACCCGTGACCCGTCAGGGTATCTTTTTCACGGGTACCCTTGACCCGTCGGGTCGGGTCGACCCGTGACCCGAAATCGGGTTAAGATACGGAAATCGTAGGATAGACTGCAATAGCGGTGCGCGAATGGCTCTGCATCGGGCTGGCAAACAAGACGCATGATAGCTATAGTGTAGGAGGAGGCGTAGGAGAGATCATGGATAGGGAAACCTAGGTCGAAGTTGAAATTTGTACTCCACAGTTGCCAAATTTGTGCACAATACTGTCTCCAACCAATTTCCCCTCCCATCACCTATCTTAACCGCATTGCATCTAGATCATCCAACCAATTTGAGATTTGAAAGCTGGACAGTCGTCACTTCCAGATCTACAACAAAGTTCATCAAGGGAGTCTCCCCCTCCTCCCCTTCTGCGGGAAATAGATCCGCGCGTAGATCCACGATTCCGCGCGTAGGGGGGGGAGGAATTCCAATCCGTGCGGATCTGTGGGGAGAATCGCCGATCCGCGCGGTTCGTCGGGGGAAATCGTCGATCAGCGCGTATGACGAGTTTTTCTTGGGTATAATTACCCAACCCGACCCGACCCGAGGGTACACTACCCGAGGACGGGTCACAGAGACCCGTGCCCACTATGGCGGGTGGGGTACCCTAAATTTGGCTTATCTTGACCCGCCGACCCGACCCGACCTGACCCGAACCCGTCACGGGTCGGCCTAGACGGGACGGGTCGGGTCAAATGCCCATGTCTATGTGAAATTAACCAGAACCACATGGACTGAGGTTTCACTTCAAAGGTTGGTGGCTCTGCTAGATGTGGCAGAAGATGTCGCTCTCTGGATGTTGGGAAAATTTTAGCTGCCTTTCGCTTGCCCAGTCTGCTTTTCAGGTTAAGAGGAGGTGATGTAGCAGTCATCATGGCACCAAGAGAACGAGTTGTTAGCCTTCAACAGAGTCGAGCGTCTGTGCCGAAGGGGTAGACGTATACGCGGGTTGGACACGGAAGGAAGTGGGGCGTCACCGCGGGCGAAAGAGATCTTCCTCGCAACTGTTCTGCTAATGTTAGTCACCGCCATGCACCGTCTCCCTTCCCGGCCTTGAGTTCCAGTGTGCAAAGTGGTTTAGTCATGTGGGCCAAAGTATACCTGCTTAGCGAAACCCAAATCCAGCTTAATCTGTAGTTGCAGTAATAAATAGCCAAGTAAATGAGAAATATCAATTAGATTCCTTGGATACTGACAGGAATTCAAGGCTGGCCATGTTGCCCATGGTGGATGGAATCGAACCACTGAAACTGTTACCTGATAGATCCCTGATGGTACATACAACCAAAGGGGGTCAGGAAAGAGAGAGATAGAGTCAGTAGTTGGTAGGAGAGGGAAGTGGAAACAAAATGTGTAACAACCATGAGGGTAAAACTTGTACTTATGATAGCTTACACTAGGGATGAGCAAGGTGGCGAACACCTGTTCGGTTCGCCTCGAAACAGGTTTTGTTTTTTAGCTCAAATCGTTCGCCGGACAGTGTTCGATGTTTGCCCGAACACGTTCATGTTCGGGGCCGCTGCTGAAATTTGCCCGCGACGAACACGAACATGTTCGAGGTTCGCCCGAACACGCCTCCACAGGCGAACAGCGAACACCTGTTTTTTCCTAAACTGTTCGCCGAACCGAACAGTGTTCGGTTCGGCAAAAGAGGGTGTTCGACAAGGGGCGAAGACGAACATGTTCGTGTTCGCCCTTTGCTCATCCCTAGCTTACACACACACTAATAGGAGGTGTTGGAAGTGAAATTTGTTCCGCTCAAATTTCAAGTACCTATCCCAATACGTGCCTCCAAGTTCGACTTTCTACCACATTTTTATAAGGAGCAGACATCACAAGAATGGACAACAAGAGATGCCATAAGAGGGGCTGTTCTGAATGTTGCATTAGCACGCAAACATGTGTACACCAAAGCAGGGGTGAAAAGTACAGCCTGCAGATCGATGACAAGACGCTGAAGTGGATCACCAGAGAGACAAATGTGCCCAAGATGCTGAGCTGGGATGCCCAAATGTTAACATTTGGACCATCAATGCAAAATGGACAACATCTCAACCCTTTAAAATGTTTGTCCATGCACATGAGAAAACAACTTGGAGGCTCGACTAGTGGGGCCTGACAGCCTAGCATTTCTTCATAGTTGAGGAGGTTGTGACTACCAACAGAGCTAGAGAGAAGACAGAATGGTTGCGTCAGGAATAAGAACGCGAAATCATGGTTGCAGCAGTTACTCTAAGGGGGAATACTCGATCCCAATCTCACATTGCGGGTTCTGAGGGGAATGACAAGATTTTCTAGCTCAAAAGGGATGTATGCGGTCACAAGTGAACCTTGGGCCGGTTGGAAAAGAATTCATGCTCACAATGATACAAGCGTATAGCTTGCTCATCTAGCAATGTGTGAGTGATTGGAATAGATTGGCCTAAAGAATTGCCATTTAGCGGATTTGACGAAAGCATGGTTCGTGAGAGAAACTGGTGAGCTTACGAGTAGCTTAGGGTTTACCATTTCAGAGAGGGGTGGCTTATTAGTAGTTGGTGGAGCTAAGACTCGATCAGGAAGTAATGTCGTCTTAGAGTATGCTGGAACTCATAGAAGTGATACGTGGTCTTCTTGGGACTTTTCTCTTCATGACAAGTCTTATCTCAGAGGTTTTTGCTTTCACTCCTTCCATGTATTGAAGATTCGACAATTCCCTTTGTGCCCTACTCTTGCCAGCCAATCTAAGGAGATCAGCAGTTTCACCCGCCGATTTGCCCGGATTGGCAAATTCCAAAGATGGCCCCATCCGGACGGGCCCCACACCTGCCGACCCTTGGTGTGGGTGCAATGTACCCGGTGCGTCATCTGTGTTGGTGGCTGATACCTCAATCCTTGGAAAAGATTCCCCTGGTTATTCTAGCATTGGTCCAGTGGGAGTATAGTGGCTGACTCTCTCGCCAGTCCAAGGGCACCTTCCACCCCAAATGCACCGGTCCAAGAACAACCTTGCGACGCATAATTTATTGTGAGATAGATGTGGCCATCATGATTAAATATCTACACCCAGTATTACCACAATATCTCGGATCGTAAAAAAGGTCGCAAGGGTCCTGGACATGTCGTACGAGGTTTGCGTGGGGCTATGATTCAAGACAAACCAGTGCAGTTCGACCTTTGGCAAGCCGACAAATATCAAATCTTCCCAGATCCGGACAGGCCGGCCAATTGTTAAGCCCGGACCAAGTTTGCATGTCTGCTTATGCCTCGCGGGGAGTACATAACTGGTGATGGCATCCGTCCTTCTCACATACTCGTGTGTTGTTGGCAAGACCCGTCTCGTTGGTTTTGAAAAAAATTGGATGGCTAGCAATGGCCTGCTGCGTGGCTCTCACGTCTCATATGTAACTACACGGCGTTCCGATTGAATTTTAGTCCCCTCACATACTGCAAAAAGCTGCGGTCTCGAGCGTCAGCTTTGGAATATTGCCGTCGCCGACTCTAGCTTTAAGAGGAGTAGCTTCAAGAAGAACCAACCCAAGCTCGGCCCAACTCAAGTGGACGGGTCATAGCTAGCAAGGCAAGGATATTATCCAATCCAGACCCTCTCGACCCCATTCCGGTAGTTTAATAACCGACACGGTTCTCCCATACTTCCTGTCAAAGGTATCACTAGTAACGTTTGAGAAACATGATTGTGCGGGAAGGAAGAGCCAGCCCAGGTGCATCAAATAGGAGTATAGGGCAAAACCAAGGCCAACCCTCCTAGGGATGAGCAAAATCCCGAATGCCTGTTCGGTTCGCCTCGAACATGTTCGAGGCGAACCGAACAGGCAATTTTTTTTGCCAAAATTGTTCGGGCCGAACATGTTCGGTGTTTGGCCGAACATGTTCGACGTTCGCCCCAGTATTTCGGGTCTCCAAGCCGAACACGAACATGTTCGTGTTCGACTTGGGGGCCACGCGAACACCAAAAAGGCTCGCGTCAAAATTGGCCGCGACCAGATTTAGGTCGCGGCCAATTTGTGTTTGAGCTCATTTCGTGAGCTCAAACTTAGAACTCGTTTTCGCCTTAGCCTCCCTCACACAACCGCCCTAGCCTACTTGTTCTAGGTGCAAGCAAGTGCACGCTGATACTTGCAATGTACACGGACATTAGATCTATGCATAGGGTTTAACGTAGTGTAGGGTGTTTAGGGTTACCATTAAGGTTCAGCCAGCATCTTCGCAAAGGGCTCAAGTATGGCGTATCCTACGCCGTAGGATTCGGATCGGGCATTTCAGAGACCTAACCGTGTGGGATAACGTTTAGAAACGTGCGGCACCATCCAACGCTAACGTTGCCTTAGGGGGTTTTAGGGTTTAGGGTCGAGGGCGGAGTGATGGCGTCCAGAGGTGGTGGATCCATAGGCCGAGGTGCAGGCAGGGCTCAGGGCAGCGCACCTGGATCTCCACCACGACCTATGCAGGGGCGAGTAGGGGATGGACCGGGTGGAGCCGGCGCGATCTTCGTTGGGGGGTTGCTTACCGTACCGGCGCCGACCTCTCGTCGCTCTTTCCGTTACGACGGCCCTCGGCCCCCTCCTTCGGGGCAGACGCCGACACAGCCGGAGAGCGGCAGTGAGGAGGAGGATGAGGAGGAGGATGGTGAGGGCAAGAAGGAGGAGGACACTGAGGGGAGCGGGGATGACAGCGAGGCGGCGTGGGACCCAGAGACGCATGGCGGTGGGGAGGGGGGAGATGATGATGATGAAGACCACGAGATGGATGGGTTGGAGCCAGAGGGGCGGGAGGATGAGGTGGGAGAGGGTGGTGGAAGGGCGGCGACAGAGGCGGGATCACAGCATGTGCGTGAAGGGGGAGGGAGCGTGGGGGTTAAGGTGGGAGGGGGAAAGGCCGTGACCATTAGGGAGCCGAAGCAGAGGAAGAAAGCGAACAAGTTGAGAGAGCGGGTGTATCCCTACACGTTCACTGGGGAGCCCTTGGGCGAGGGTGTGATCGCTCCCGAGTTCCTAGACGAGGACGGAGGGTCCGAGAGTAGTAAGGGGACTGGCAAGGGTAATAGGAAGCCGGGGTGGCAAGTAATGATGTTCGGACCGTTAGGGGCAGACGATAAGCGTCAGTGCAAGATTTGCACAGACAGAATTTCATGGAAGCAATCCACAACAACCCCCGGCGAGCGGCACTTTGCGAGCTTCCACACCGCGCACATGCATGTGTGGCATCACCGTTACCACACCCCGTCCGCTCACTTGCCATGAGAGACGTTTCGACGTGGGGGCTACAAGGGAGTGCCGGATGGCTACGTCTATCAGTGGCCACATGCCAAGACTTGGCCGCAGCTCGCCAGGGGGAAAGGGAAGGCGACTGGTGGAGGTGATGGGTCACGCGGGATCGAGCGGTGGATGACAACCAAACTGACCTCGGTGCAGCTACGGCAGGCAATCATGAAGCTGGTGGTCACCTGCGACCTCCCCTTCCGCATCGTCGAGGCCGAGGGTGTAAGTGCCCCATCCCATCCCATGCATGATTGGGCAAGTATGTGGTTAGTGGACGGGTCTGTCCCTTTGTGTTTTGACTGTTTGCGTATGGCCCAGTGCAGTGCTATATTATTTTCATCCCATCCCCCTGACGTTTACTCCCCTCTCCCCCCTTGTCTCTAACCCTCTCCAGTTTCGTGAGCTACTCATCCTGCTAAACCGCAACTGCGCGCAAAAAAACTTCATCCCCTCGCGCTGGACAGTTTCCCGCGACACAGTGGTCTATGCAGCTGCCGCTCTTCAGTCAGCCATTGCGGAGATGCTGGCGAAGGAGGGGGATCTGAGGTGCAGGGTGTCGTTCACCATCGACATGTGGACGTCGCCCAACAAGAGGGCGTGGCTAGTGGTAACGGGTCACCGGATCGACGAGAATTACCAGCTGCGCACGATGGTGTTTGAATTCCGCGAGATTCACGGGCGTCACACGGGCAAGCAGATGGCGAGGGTGGTTGAGGAGACTGTGGTGCAGTGGGGGTTGGAGACGCGTTGTCTTGGGTTCACCTCAGACAACGCCTCCAGCAACACTGCCGCTTTCAGGTGGATGTCGGAGGAGGGTGGTGGCCGGTGCTTCTTCAACTCGCGCATGCACTTGCGGTACGAAAGGGAGTGTGCATGGGATGTGCGATGAGGGAGTCTGGGTGCGTCGTTCCTCTGAACATGTTGTGGTTGTAGTACGGGCGGGTGGGCCTATGCGGCTTGAGAGTGGTAGTGTTTCTCGGATCTATGCCAATGTGCACTCACACTTCCCTTTCTTTCCGCCATTAATGTTTTGTGATGTGCGCAGATGCCTGGCACACGTGATCAACCTTGCAGTGAAGGCAGCACTCGCTGTGACCGCCATCCGCAAGTTGCTGAAGATTCTGAGAGAGATGGCGTCGTGGATAGGCTTCTCGCCGCAGCGCTCAGGGAATTTCTTGGGCCTTCAGCGGACCCTGAACGCGCAGGGCAACCCCGCCAAACCGAAGCCGGCATTGAAGCTGGTGCAGGGCAGTCCCACACGCTGGGGGTCGACCCACGACATGGTCGAGCGAGCCGGGGTTCTGCAGGAACCCATCTCTGTCTTCTTTGCCCAGACACAGGTGTGTGTGTGTGCCAGGTGTTGTGTATGCGGTTTTATGTGTTGGTATGTCGGTCGGGGTGTTCTCTTCTGGGACTTGCACCACTGTTGGCCATGCTTGACTAAACTTATCGGACCTCCAACAACCTCAACCACCCCACTTTCCATTCTATCCGTCGCCCACCCATACGTTCTACCCGACAGGGCGTGTCGAAGGCTGACAAGGCGAAGATGGACACCTTGCGCCTGACGGACGCAGACTGGGAGACTCTGCATTCTGTCAAGACCTTCCTCAGCCCATTCGCCAAAGTCTCAAAGGCCGCGGAGGGAGCGGCGTACCCTACAGTGGCAATGGTCCTGCCGTACTAGAACAGCCTGATCGACGCTATGGAGTTGCGCCTTGCCAAGGGGCCATCGGCTACGCTGAAGCCGATGATTGAGGCGGCGCTGGGTCTCTTGAAGAAGTATGAACTGATGTCAAGCAACGAGTTGTGGATCGCCACCTTCCTGGACCCTTCCATGAAGGCGGCGTGGTTCGACGACGCGCACTGGGAGACGCTGCATTCCGATACCGACCGGAGGGCGAGGCCTCGTCCCTCGTCAGGCGAGGTGATCCAGCTGGTTCGCGAACGCGTGGCCGAGTACCAGGCCCGGGCTGCAGCGATTGCCCCTCGGACGACCTTACTTGCCCCAGTGACGGAGGAGGAGGAGGGAGACGTGGCGGATGACGACGAAGACGCCGAGTTTCTCCCTAGTCGTCGACGCCTTGCGGCGCGTCTGTCGGCGAGCCAGGAGGCGGGGAGGGGTGGGATGGTGCAGGATGACGAGGTTGGCAGGTACTTATCTGAGAGGGTGCGGTGCGACGTGTCAGCGTTGGAGTATTGGCGCAGTGCCACCAACATGCAGACGCTGAGGCGCATGGCCCGGGATTATCTTGCCATCCCTGCCACGTCCGCGTCGAGCGAGCGCGTGTTCTCCCTCGGCCGCAACCTCATTTCCTGGAAGCGGCACCGCCTAGCCTCTCAGAAGACGCGAGCTTTCATGATTCTCAAATCATGGTACACCTCACACCTTGGACAGAGGATAGGCGAGGGCCGCTATGCAAAAGGCGAGGCACCACCAGAGATCGCCATTGAAGGCGAGGGGGAGGAGGAGGACGACGAGTGGGAGGAGGAGGAAGGGGAGGAGGAGCAGGTGGGGGTGGGTGTTGGCGACACCTCTGACGCGGAGCATGCTGTTGTTGGTAGTAGCAGTGGTGTGCATGCGTAGGATTTAATTTGACAATGACTTTTAGATAGGCAAAACATGATGGTGTCGTATGCTAGTGTGCGTTGCATGAACACATATACACCCTCCACCCCCCTATCTATCTTCCCAACCCTCTAGATTCCCTGTTCGACCAATGTGACTATAACGAAAGTGCCCACGGGCGAACTCGAACATGTTCGGTTCGAACATGTTCGAGTTCGCCCACATATACCAAATGTTCACCCCCATGGGTGAATGGCGAACACCTCCTGCTTGACAAATTGTTCGCCGAACCGAACCTTGTTCGATTCGGGAAATGGTGATGTTCGAGCGAACTCGAACCCGAACGTGTTCGAGTTCACCCTTTGCTCATCCCTAAACCCTCCTACCTATCCGGCCATAGCAAACTTGCTGCAAGGAGGTCATGGACTGTGTCTGCCATGCCAAGCATGTTAAGCGGTGTCCACACGGGTTTGGCACGCAAGATGCTCATTGTCAGTGGGCACCGTTTGCCTGTTGTTTACATCAAGTAGCAATTTGAATCAATGCTGATTTATTTCATTACGGCTCTGCCATGGGATGGCCTGATAGGAGCGTGTTTGAGGCCAAATCCATACGGCAAAGTGAGAGGCCAAGAGCTCAATGTGGTAGATTTGGTGGGGAGATTCCAGATTTACGCGGATTTGAGGGAAGCCCCTGCGTGTCAGCATGTGATGGACCCCCCATAGCCTTGTTGTGAAACCATCCTATTTCCGCTGATGGGCCTTGATGGGCCTGGAGGGCTGCCCCGGCTCTCCTTGCTCATGCCCAAATCAAACAAAAGAACAGCTGAATCAGTAGTTTAAGGAATGAACCACAGCCATTCAAGCCAAAAGTGAAATTTTATCAAACTTCCTTGATACTGACAATTCTGCAAGGTTGCTCATGATGCCGATGGTGGATGGAATAGACCCATTCAGTTTGTTATTCCACAGAGACCTGAGGATGTACACACACGCACAGAGTTCCATCCGAGGAATAAGAGGGATACAGCAAGTGGTTGGGGGGAGAGGAAAGTGGAAATGGAGTCTAAACAGACCGTGAGAGTTGAACACGTAACATTACAACTTACACACACATTCTAATAGGCGGTGTTGGAAGTGGGAGATGTTACGCCCAGATTTGAATGTCTCTCGAGGTACCTGTTCTAATAGATTGCCTCCAACTGTGAGCAAACACATGTTTTCAATACTTCAATTTTGGCTTTGTAACACAATTTTGTAAAGAGCAGACATCAGAAGAATGGACAACAGGAGATACCATAAGAGGCAATGTTCTGAATGTTACACAAGCACACCAAAGCAACAGTGAAGCCTATAGCGGTAGTGAAGCAACAGTATGCAGGCAAATTTATGGTTAAAGCAGCTATTTCAAGGGGGAATACTCACTCCCACATTGGTGAGTCAGAGGCAGGACTCCATAGCTCTAGAGGGAATGTGTGAGCTCAAAAGTGATACTAGGGCTGGTTGGATAATTGTTTACGCTCACAAATTCACAGGTGCGGATCTTTTTCAGCTGGTAATTGAGTGGGCGTTTGAACAGGTTGACCTTCAGAAGGGGGATTATGTCAGCTAGACATGAGCACTTTTCCAAACCTCAAACAGGTTCAGGTCGAACATGTTCGTTTCAAACATGTTCGAACCTTCTTTTTTGGAAATACGGTTCGCCCGAACATGTTTGGGGTTCGAAAAGTTTATGGGGACAATTCCCAAACACCAAACATGTTCGGGGACCGTCCCCACTTTTCCGAACATCAGATGTTTGGAAAAACCCAGCGCAACATTTGTCGCGCTGGTTGGATGTAAGTCCTACGGAAACCATAGTTCGAGGTCATTTCGTCCTCGATCTACTTTTTTAGTAGTTCATAGCAGTAAGGAGCAGTAGGCTCATTTCCAGCTCATTTCCACCCAACTTAACGGTTACTTTAGGTAACTTAGGTTAATTAGTCGTTAGTCGTTAGTTAGGTAACTAAACCCTGCTTGTCTACAATGGACGAGCCACGAGCTTAGTCAGCTGGCCGACTGGCTCGTCAGCCCACTGGCTCGTCAGCCCACTGGCTCATGGCAACTTGAACCAAGTTGGCTTATCTTAGACCTATGCTCATGCCTATCTTTCATGCCTTCTCTGAATATATTTGTTATGGTGGCAGATGCTGAAAGCCACAAATTTGGTCCCTTCATCATGAGGCTTCCTAGGATTGTGGCGGAACAAGCTCGGTTCAACTCAAACAAACGAGCCATGGCTATCAAAGCGAGAATAATGCCCACCACAAACCCTCTCAATTCCATCTCGATAATGTCTAGCCATGTAGGCATAAACCATACTGGCCTAGTTTCAGCTCTTGCTCTCGTTAATTTTGAAACTAATATGGGCCTCAATCAAAGCGGAGCTTGGGTCTAAAGCGGGCCTAAACGGCCCGACCCGGACCGCACCTCGAGACGGGCCGGCCCGGTCCGCCCTGAAATGGGCGGGCCAAAAGTAGGCATCCGGCCCGGCCCGACCTGACCCGATTTGGCCGGGCCAAGCAGGTTTCCAGGTCGGGTCGGGTTGGGCCGACCCTGGGCCAGGAGGTTGTATACCCTGACCTGACCCGGGGGTACAGGGCCGGTTCTTTCCTGGCCCGACATCGCGTCAGGCCGACCCGAGGTCGGCTCAGGTCAGGAAACCGCTCTCACCTATGCACTGCGCAGATCTACGATTTTGCCCGTCGATCTGCGCAGATCAGGAATTTTGCCCGTCGATCTGCGCAAATCAGGAATTTCGCCCGTCGATCTGCGGAAATCGACGAATTCGTTGCGACCTTGTAAACATCAGGATTTTGCCCGTATAGATCTCTCGACATTCATCCTCTGGACATAGTTGACTAGTACTTGCCTAAAAACTAGGATTTATGGGCTGATGGTTAGTTAGGTTGCGGGACTGATGTTGAGTGGAAAAATGTCCCCTCGACATCGACTTAAGGGGTCGTCCAAGTGTCGAAACCAGGTCGGGTCAAAGCCCGACCCAGTTACCCTGTTTTTGACCCAATTCCGAGTCTCAGGTCAAAGTCGGCCTAAGGCCCGACCCGACCGACCCGACCCGACCAGACCCGGAATTCAACGTTGGGTCGGGTTTTTGCTCGGCCCGGACAGACTCGACCCGGCTAGGCCAGGACATTGGAAGTCCTGAGCCGACCTGCCAAAAACTGGGGTTGGGTCGGGGCCTTTCGCTCATGCCTAGCCAAGAACGGGCTCCCGATGGCCCGGCGGACCAAGACTGCCCGGCCTGCTTCGGGCCAACAGCCC